GAGAGAGAGAGAGATCTTTTGTTGCTCCTATATTTTTTAAAATAAAAGTGAATATCATTGATAAAATATTTGAGAGGGTATAAACTGCATAATGTCTATAAAATTACAAATTGGTCTAGCATCGAGAAGCATACGTTTGGAGAAAGGTAAGGTCCGCTTGCTTTGACTCGAGGATAGATGTGACAATAGTAAATCGATTGCAATGTAAGAATCAATGTAGTTACAGCATACAACTGCAAGTAAAGGAACCACGAGGCAAATCAGAATCATAGATAAAGAATTAGATTTCAAAAGTTTTAAGAGAACTTCTTGAGGTTAAATTCTTACCACAGCCGTATAAAATTGTGTTGGTAACTGCAAAAGTAGAACATAAGCACTAAGTTACTCTGCAACACCCTATAATTTAAATCAGGAAAGAAACTTGCAAAACATAAATGTTATTTTGGGGAAAACAAAGTTATTCTAGGACAACTTTTGGATTAATATATCACATCTCCAATCTTTCCAGTGCATAAAACAAAATGACAAGGAATACAGAATGAATTGGATTCCAACCACTTCCTTTATGAGATTCTGCACAAGTGGAAGACCCTTGACCAAACTAAGCATGCCAGAAGTAATTTAGCAGAAACTTTAGATAAAAAGAAGAGCATAAATACATCTTATGGACAAATTCAGCAGTTAAACTAACATTACAATCCAATGGTCTACAAAAGTCCATACTCCATTGTAACACCATTGTCCATTGAAACATTTGATGGCAATGAGGAAGATGTGAGGACACCAACATAGGATAGACTCCACTCTCAGTCCATTTCCTCGGACATCAATAATCTGATGAACTATGGTCGTTTTATAGTCTATCGTATTATACTGTATATCTCTCTCATTATAATATACACTTTAAATAAAATTGGGAGGCAAACACTATGAAAAGCATAATTAATAGCTAGAGAAACTTACAGTAGCTGGCTCCAGCAAGCAACCAAAAAGGTTAAAGAAATCTCTGCAAAAAATAAACCAAAGCAATGAGATGGTGCATAACTGTAACCCATGAAGCAAGTTCAGTACAATGAATGATGCAAAGTAAATAACCAATTAGACTTCAATTCGAGTTTAAATGAAGTCCTCTTCTAATGCTACAGTTATATTTGGATATATGCCTAAAGAGTATAAAAAAATACAAGGGAACTCTGAAAAATGAGATAGTAGTTTGAGAGTGCAATACTATCAAGAACACAGGATAACATCGACAGTACAGAGAAAACAAAATACCAATACAAAGGGAAAAAAAGAAAACTAGCATTAAACTCAAAGAGCAATTAGCAATTAGAGGTACATATGCAGCAGAAAGAGTCTAACGCCAATGAAGAAATATGAAAAACATGGTATAAAAAAGCAAAGACATGGTGACCAAGAATAGATACATATGCAGCAGAGAGAATTTAACGCCAATGAATAAATATGAAAAAAATTATATAAAAAGGCAAAGACATGGTGACCAAGAAAACCAAATTATACAAACACAGAAGAAGAAACCAGAGAAATTACACTAATGCATATTATGAATGGTTGAATGAGAGGAAATAGAACTTACCCAAGAACCCATGTCAATAGAAAAGCCATTGAGAGACTTTCAGAGGTCTTTTCCTTATAATTTGAGATTATTTGAGGGATCTCTGCAACTCCCCAGCTAATGACACTGATCAAGCCTAGTATTAAAGATAACCAATCCTTCACATCACAGATACAATACTTCATATACACTCTGGCCCATTCCCAACAATGCTTGTTTATAGGGCAAGCAGGCAAAGACTCATTAATCAATTCCATGGCGTAAGGCCCAGAAAGACAAAAAAGAAAAAACTCTTCACTGAAAAATTTAAACGAGTGTTTTGAATGCTTTATATTTTAACTCTGAAACGTACAGAGATGACCCATGAACTTTCCTGTTAGAGAGAGAGAGCTATAAAAGTAACACAATAATAGTATAAATTACCCAGAAAATGATCCAGACATATGTAGAAAAACACCAAGGTAAATATCAAAAACCCATGAAGAAAAACTAAATAGAATGAGAGAGAGGGAGGGGTTTAGGTTTTAAGAACGCGGAGTTCGTGCTGAATGAGCTGGAACACTTATTGAACTGCAACTTCTTCAAATAATTCTAGGGTTTCAAGGACCATTCTGCAAATTCGATTGCGAATAAGGATTTTATTGAAAATTTAGTAGAATGTACAGCTCAAAAAAGAAGAACAAATAAAAAAATAAAAAACCAGAGGATTCGTCTAACGGCTTTCGTGACGGGTTTATTGATTTTCTATATCCCTACTAAACCTGAGAATTCCAATATACCCTGTACACAACTAAAGGTTTGGATGCGTATTATATGTTCCATACATTTACGTCTTAGTAATGAGGTCCAAATAAGACTTGTAATTTATAAACAAGCATATTTAAAATGAAATTACTATTTATTTCCAAATTTTAAAAATAAACTCAATATTTTCATTTTATACCAAGATCTCTTTTTTTAACTTACTGAGAGCATTGTTCTTGATAGAATAGAATGACGGACTAAAATTCGTATAACCAACCTCAAATAGTTAAAAAAAGGTTTTGATGATGATGATGAACCTTTTTTTTTTTTTACAGAATGCTTAGTACTTAATAGTTGGAAATTTGAAACTTTTTTTAACTTTCAAATATTGCAGTGTTTCAAAATTTGAAATTGGGCCCAACTCACTCGAGTCCATTTGCCCATCCGATTCATTCGATGTCAAAAGTTCGGGATGATTTTGGGGTTCCTCGAATTGAAATTGTGATTCAAAGTTGGCCTATCGATTTTTAAATCACTGTTTTAAATTTTTTTATAAAATATCACCTTATTTTGATGGTGATAAATGATGACAAAAAAAACAATATTATGAGCAGTGGGCTAAGTTCAAAGGGAGAATTAATTTGCTCTATGATTTGCTTTAATTTACTATATAATTTGCTTTAAAACATGTATCTTACTTTTGACATCTTGTTTCTCGTTTGTTGCTTCAAAATGAAGGTTCAAATAAATGTCAAATTAGATACTTCTTTCATTGCATCTTCAAAAGAGAGATTTATTTTCCTTGAATTTATCTGAAAAGCACAGGCGAGAAGCACGTTCTTTACGTATAATATTATTCCATAAGTAAATTCATTAATTAAGGAGAAGAGATTAAGTTAATGTAAAGTAATAATTTTCAATATAAGAACGATATTTATCAAAAGAGATTGTTTATAAAGATGCCATTTCTTTTGATTGTTTTTTTTGGAACTTTGTGTCTACCTATTTTCAAATTTAACGGACAGAAATGATTGTGGCTTTCATGTACAAAAAAATAAGTGGTCTCTTTGTAGAAAATCCCTTATCGAAAATATTTTTTTTGTTAAGTTTTGTTTATAATTAAATTTTAAAAAATATGACTTAAAAATTTAAATTATCTCAACAAATCATTAAGGGTTCAAAGTACTCCATTTATCACCCAAGGTTTAAACTTTTATATATCATCTCATAAATTGTTCCGTGGGTCATAAAGGAAAATTGTTCCATGGGTCAGCAGGTGCAAGAGCCCGCTGACTTATGCAAGATGGAAATTGTGTAAAATGCATGGGTCAAATCAAGTATGGATGGTGCTAAAAATATCCCAAAAAAGCACATTTCAAATTTCAGTAGTTTATTTTTTTATATTTATGGGCTTAGATGATGAATCTCTAAAATTTGGATCGAAAATCCATCTTTAAGGTGAATTTTAGAGGGGGCTCATGTGTACATATGAGTCGGCTGACTCATAGAAACACCATCTTTTCATAAAAGGCACTTCAACAAAATATTATTTACTTAAAAAAAAAACTTGCAACAATTTTTTTTCAAAATTTCTAGGTTACCTTTCTCCAAGGATATGGAATACTAGAGAAACAAACGCATTATCATAAATTGCCCGATTTCGCCAACTTGAGTAACTCGAGCTAAATTACAAAAATACTCATCGTTGTTCAGAGTTACAAAAATATAACTCCCAAATAGCCTAAAATAACACCGATTGAATATGATTAGAAATACAAAGCCCTATAATTTTTTGTCATTTTCTAGTTCTATGTTTCCAAATTTGAGCAATGGAGGACATTTTGTCATTTAGTTATGAGTGAGATTAATTATCCAAATAGCCCAAATTATTCAGGGTTCTCAACCTTAAACAATGATTTATTTAAGAAAAACAACCCTTTTTAAATGAACAAACTTTGCACTTGTATTGGGACAATACAATCTTTTGAGCCCTTTCTTGGTTTTTTTTAAAATAATTTGACCCTTTTACTGATTTACCCATGAAAATATTGGAAATTGAATTGGACTATAGAACTTGCTTTTTGGTACATGATAGCTAAATGTATCATTGATCATGATCAAAGTTTAAAATAATATTTTTTACTACGAAAGTGATACCCCACAGCTACCCCGTTATACGATGTAACGGCTTGGTGTGCTTGTATCTTTGTGCTAAAAAGATAGTAGGGAAAATTTTATGTAGAATCACTCAAATATAAAATATATGTGGCTCCTATTCTAAGCTCTATGGTATAAAAGGATGCGTGTGATAGCTTTAGTCACAATGTCAGCATAATACAATTTTATTTTTTTATTTTTTAAATCTAATAAAATTTGGGACATCCATTTTTCTCACAAGAGTGCACCTAACAAAAACAATTAAAAACATTTATAATGATAAAATGACTAACATACCACTATAAATTAGGTAGGATTTTGACTATTTTATTATGAAAATTGTTATTTTCTTATTTCCATTAAATAATAATGTATGAGAACTTGACTCTACAAAATTTAATCAACAAAATAATCTGTAAAACATAATTAAAGTTTAAATATTCTAAGATATTTGTTCAATATTAAATGCTCAAAGAATAGCTTATGACACTATGACTAAATGCTATATCAGCAATCCATTCAAATTATATAATTAGAATTTTTGCAGTTACGTACAAAATGTAGGGTTAGAAATCCCCGGAAAAAATCTCATAAAACTTTAAAAAAAAAAAAAGGGCATGAGCGTATTATAAAAGTTTGCAGGGGCATGGACCATATTGCCATTAATTTTTAGTTCCTAACCGGAAGACATATGAGAAGGGGGGGAGAATGCAACAAGTGGCAATATGAATGCCGCGTGTGGAGCCATCGAAGCACCGTGTCTCTGGCCAATGACAATATTCCACATCAGCAAATTCATTTTGCCTATGGGTTAGTGGGTCCCACTTTAATCCAGGAAACAAAATGTCATTTGAAATAGAAAAGCATCTATGGCATTTGAAATGACAGAAAATCAGTATTAATAATTTTAAATATGAAAAGATAATTTTATCAAAATACTTATTTCATATGAACCAATGATTTAAATAAGATCAACATATAATCGCTCGATTCGATCGGGAATCGACCATTTCGTGCTCGATTGGATCAGGAATCGACCATTTCGTGTCGATTCCATCGATATATAAAAAATCATCTAGGTCTAGAAGAAAACCAGCAGTTTGCTACAGTAAAAATACCAACTCACCAATTCATATAGGTATTTTTGCTAGTTCATTATTTTTGCACATGTTTATTTGCCTTATTTAATCTGTACAGTAAAAAAGTGATCTAGATCGTTGATTCACTGATTCAAACAAGTTTTTGTGATGCTTGATTTGGGTCATCGATCTGTTTTTTTTTTAAATAAC